TACCATCTAGTTCTTCTGGTCTTATAGTCATACAGGTTGTGGATCACATGGTGTACCAGTTGCTTGTACTAATTGTTTCCATGAATCTTTGGTTTTCTTCGTTCTTCTTTGCTCTGGATGAGGAGAGACCCATCGTTGCATCTAGATGGCTGCTTGCAAGCTTTTAAGATCTCAGTTGCTACTTGCCAAAGCAGGAGGTGGAACAATGTGTAGTATGTTATGCCAATTGAGCTTGATGTCTCCTGCAGCCGTGGTCCCGAGCCCATAGGTTCAACTACTTGCTCCCTCTGAGTAGCTGACTGTGCCCAATAAATGATTACAACCTTACTGGTTATATTCTTTTGTAAACTACTTAAATTACCCCTACTGATAGGAACTCGAAAAATTGTGATTAGAAAAGTATGTAACTGCCAGAACGTCTGTTGCAGGTCCCAGGGTGTCAACACGGGGCCCCCATGATGGAGCCCCTTTTGATCTATAGACAAGCAGATGCCTGGATCAATCCGGAGGACCAGAACATCAAAAGCTAGTAATCCTGCCCCACATGGCTTGCTAATTGTATAGCTTCCTCATTCTGTGCCCTGTAATCACTGTAAGCCAAATGGGAAACACTGGCAGTCCAGCTAGTGTACTATACACCTAGTTTTCTGTCCCAAACACAGTCTTGTGCAGTGTTTCATTAAAGGCTTGCTCTCTATAAACCACCTCTGTCTCTGAGAGCAATTCTTTCTAGCCAGAAGACAAGAAGCCATTTGGGTTTTGCAGGGTCCATCTTCTATAACACATCCACTTGTCAGAGAATTGGCCAGTGAAAACTTTATGAATAGCAGTGAAACTGTCATCAAGGAGCAGAGAGAGGAAATCTGACAAATAACAGTTAAGGCATCAGACCACTACCATTCAGTCCATTTCGACTCATAGCAACTCTATAGGACAGGGTAGAACTGACAAAAGGTTTTCATGGCTTTCCATCCTTACAAAGCTGACTGCCTCATCTTTCTCCTGCAGAGTGGCTAGTGGATTTGAACCACCCACCTTCTGGTTAGCAATCAAATGCTTCAACCACTTACAGAGCTCCTTAAGGCAACAACAGAAAAATAAAGCCATTTCCTATTTGTCCTCCATCCAATTTAGCCCATTCAATATGCCAGTTCAAGATCTTAGCTAGTAGCTAGTAGTTAATAAGCGCATTAGAGTTCAATGTTGCTATTGTTTGGTATCTGAGTCATGATACCAACATTGTCTTGTGTTACTAAGGTAGCTATCTCTAGGCATTGTTCTAGTAATCATACATTCCAATAATTGCTTGAGGAGCTCTGGTGGCACAGTAGTTAAGACATTTGGCTACTAACCAAAAGATCCACTGACCTGTGGTTCAAACCAACCAGCTGCTCTGAGGGAAAAAGATGAGGCAGTCTGCTTCCGTAAAGGCTTACAGCCTTGAGAACCCCAGTGGGGTCACTGAGTCGGAATCAACTCTATGGCAGTGGGTTTAGTTTTGGTTTTGGTAACTAGTGTTTAATTTGTGATCTAAATTGGCTAATGCCCACCAAGGATCAATAAGTAGTAGCATATGTGTACCTATCTGGGCAATTTGGTTCTTAATTAATTATCTGAAAGTTATAAACTTATTGGTGCTCTTTTAATTTTGAAGATCATTAAAGAATTCCATCCCTATGTGCTAAAAAATCATAAAAATGCTGTATTTTATGAAGGACAAAATCTGATTAAGGCTAAAATCAAGCTTCTATATTTAACCACCAGTTTATAGGAAATAGGTGGATTAGAAGAACACAGCCACCATGTGAGAAATTCTCCAGGACCCACAAACAAGACTTTCAACAAATAAATGACATGAGGGAAAAAAAGTGGGGGTAATTGTTAGACTGACAAACTTAAAAGGCATATAAACCAAATACAGTATTCATCCTTCTGTTGATTCTAACTGGTACAGACCAACAATAAAAAGACAACTTCCAGATAATTGAGAACAATGAGCACAGACTGGATATCAAATGATATTACAGAATTATTATTTTTGTTAACTAACTAACTAACTCACTGCCATCAAGTCATAGCCACCCCTCCTTGGGTTTCCGAGGGGTTTCTCTATGGAAGTAGATTGCCCTATCTTCCTTCCAAGGAGAGGCTGGTTAGTGTTATGGTTTTTTAAAAAAAGTTACTAGAGATACAGAAGTCCTTGGGTGGTGCAAATGGTTAACCCCCTGGTGCTGACCAAAAGACTGGCCGTTTCAGTCCACCCAGAGGATCCTGTGAAAAACGTCCTAGCTATCTATTTCTGAAAAAAACAGCCACTGAAAACCCTATGAAGCACAGCTCTACTTTGACACACATGGGGTTGCCATAAGTTAAAATCAATTGGATGATAACTACGTTGGTATTAGACACACATACTGGACTATTTTGGTATGATAGTGTGTTAGACTGGGTTCTCTAGAGAAACAAAACAAGTAAAGCTTATACATAAAGAGAAATTTATCTTAGGGAAATGGCTCACACACTTATAGAAGCTGGCAAGTCTAAAGTTCTTGGATCAAATGTCAAGTGGGAGGCTTTTCCCAACTGACACACCTGCAGGGGCTGAGGAGCTCAAGGTTGGCAGGCAGTATACTGGCTGTTGACTCCAACGAATGACGAATCCAAGATCTCCAGGCCGAATGGTGGATTCTTCGCTCACGGACAGCTGTAGGCAGCACAACAGAGTCCCGATCCACAGAAGAGTGTCTGTTTTCTGAGGATGCCCATAAATATATGGGAAGCAGGCCACACTCCTAGGAAGACTCCCTTTCAACGGATTGGCTGCTCAAAACATATACATATGATCCCATCATTGGAACAACCCACATCACAATTGCTTAAACCACACAGAATTGTGGTCCATCTAAGTTGACACACAGCTCCAACTATCACAGATAGGATATCTGACATTTCCTTTGAAATAGTCCCAAAAATGAAATGAGTGTGTGAGTGTGTATATGTGTGTTGGGGAGAAGTGGGGTAGTACAGCTTAAATAAAAACAAGCTGAATGATAAGTGCAAGAGAATTCATTGACCATTTCTTCTACTTTTATGTATGTTTGAAACTTTTTATAATAAAGGAAAAACAACAAGCACCGACTTTAAATGCTTTCTTTGGTTAAATTAAGCTTATTCTCCCTTCAGGATCCAATTTTTAGCACACTCCCAGGCCTTCTTCACCCTCATGTAGATCCGACCTTAACTGTCCAACTAACTGTCCAACTTTGTCAGTCTGATATGTCATCAAATCACAGAATGCCAAAGCAGAAAGGGAACTTCATTGCATCCAACATCCTCATTTTAAAGATGAAGAAACTGATGTCCAGAGTTTCACTAGTTAGAGTGTAACTAAATTACTAACCTTAGGAGGACAAACCTAAACCAAACTCAGTGCCTTCATGCCAATTCCGAGTCACAGTGATCCTATAGGGCAGAACAGAACTGCCTCATAAGGTTTCTAAGCCTTTGCATAAGCAGATGGCATCACCTTCCTCCGGATGAGCTAATGGGTTAGAAAGGCCCACCTTTTGCTTAGCAGCGGATGGCTTCAATCATCGCATCACCCAAGCTCCTTAAATTTAGGAGGCCAAACTCAAATTCACTGCCATCGAGTTGACTTCTACTCACAGCAATGCCTATTGGGTTTTTCGGGCTGTAAATCTTAACGGAAGTAGATTACCTCATTTTCCTTCCACGGAGAGGATGGTGGGTTTGAACTACCAACCCTCTTGCTAGCCCTCAAATGCCTTAGGCACTGTGTCACTACACCTCCAAAGAGGCCAGTAAGTATTAAATATATCTGTGTACTTAAATTTCTAGGAAACCAGATATTTTTATTGGCAAAAATATACTGGTCAAGGTTATTTAAAAAAACATCTAACTTTCCTTCTCTCACAGGTAAGCATCTCACAAACCAATCCCACGCTGCGGCCACACGAACATACAGCAAGGCAGACCAAGACAACCCAGCCAGTTGTGCGCCCCCTCCCGGCAGGATCCTGTGGGGGCCCTGTGGACGGAGGGGCGCAACAGAGGAAATGCGCGAGAACGGACGCGGTGCCGGCGCGAAAACGCACGCACAGACGCACACGCTGCGCGCTAATACAAGCACCGCCTGCACTCGTCTTTCCCATACAAGTTCCGCCTTCCGGGGGTAGGCCAGGCAGCCGCTTACCCGAACTCTAAATGACCCCCAGGAAGTTGGAAACTGCCAGCTCCAAACGACCCTTTTCTTTTCCCTAGAAGGACACAGTGAGGATGATTAGAACTAGTCACCACTACTCCTACTCCGACTCCGGGCCGCCGACCCCTGATCTCTGCGCTGGTGGTCATAGTGCCTTGAAGACTCGCTGGGCCACAGCCGGAAGTGACATTTGCTCCGCCCCTTTGACGACCTCCAATCTCTGCCAATACTGGCTCGAGCGCTCGAAATCTAAACACGAACCTCCTAGCGGACGCCCACTTATCCTGCTACTTGATTTCTGTGCCAGACTTTGGCGGTTCAGTTTGTGAAGCGTCGTGTTTCCCCCAGAACAACATCCCAAGACTTTTGTTTTAACTAATTAACAGTGTTGCATGTTTAGCGTTCATCGTCTCTTCACTGGCAGATTCTTCTAAACTACGCGTTTAACAAGCCGCCTGGTGTTCGCAAACCTCTACCTTTGCACAACCTGTTCTTTTTTCCCAATTACCCTCTCCAGCACAAGGAACTCATTCTCACCATTACTCAAGTCAGTTTGGTACCAGGGCAAGAAAAGATAGTGCAGAAACATTCTAGTATATATAATTATTAAAGAGTATTCACAAATCATGGGGAAAAAACAGGATTAATATGTTGTGTTGGAACAATGAGTATAAGGATCTATTTAGGAGGAAAAACAGTTGCATACCATACAACAACAACAAATTTTGAGAGGAATCAAAGAATTGCAATTAAAACAAACACAAATGAGTAGTCTCTGGAGAAGGATTTACTTACTTTTTTTTTTTGTAAGTTAATTTTTACTTCTACCAAAGTAATACGTGCCAAAATTTTAGAAGTCAAACCACACACAAGCTACAAGAAAACCTTATTCTCTATTTCTGCTCCCAGAGACAATCACTTTTAACTCTTTGAACTGTTACTTCTATTATTTTCTTACATATTTCTTCTTTATATATTTCCTCCCGACTTCTCCTTGTGTTTACCATATCCCTTGTTCCCACTTTTCTATCTCTACTTGCTTTCTTAGCATTATCCCTGGGAAAATTCTGCCCCTGGAATCTCATATGGTTGATTGTTCTAAGGAGTCCTGACTTCTCTGGTGTTAATGTTCACCTCATAGTACTGTCTATGGTTGGCTGAAAGTTGAGCCACAGGAGTAAGTTCAGTTCAGGCCCAGAAGGAGACTAAGGGCCATAGTCTCAGGGGTTCCAGCAGTCTCTATCAAACCAGTAAGCCTGGACTTTTTTTTTTTTTTTTTAGTTTTGTTCCATATTCTTCTTCTGTTGTACCCAGGACCTCCTTTGTGATCCTTTTCAGAGCAGATGGTGGCCCAGCACTATCTAGTTCTTCTGGTCTCAGGGTGGTGGAAGCTGGAGTTCAAGTGATCTATTGGTCTTTTAAGAGTTCTGATGGTGTAGTGCTAAGGCATTTGACTTTTAACCAGAAAGATGGTGGTTCAAACCCACCAGCCACACTTCGGAAGGTTGGGCGATCTACTTCTGTAGCGATACCACCTCGGAAACCCAAGAAGGGGTTGCTGTGAGTTGGCTCCAACGCAACGGCAGTGAGTTTGGTTTTGGTTTGGTATTGGTCTTTTGCACTAATTGTTCCCATGTGTTTTTTATTTTCTTTACTCTCCTTTGCTCTGGACAGGAAGAAACCTACAGTTGCACCTTAGGTGGCCACTCACAACCCAGTTGCTACTCACTGAAGTAGGATGTAGAACATTGTCTTTGTGGACTATGTTATGTCAATTGACTTTGATATCCCCCGAGACTATGGCCCTGAGACCCCAGGCCAAGTGACTCACTCCTCAAGGTGGTTGGTTATGGCTAAGAAGTTTTCATAATTTTGCCCCTTATAGGTATGTATTCATTTCCAGTTATAAAGTTCAAAAGCAGGAAGGGAGAGGAAAGAAGGACGAGTGAAGTGGAAAACACAGGGAGGAAAAAGAATGCTGTTATATTGTGGGGACTGCGATCAATGTCACAAAACAAAATGTGTATGAATTGCTGAATGGAAAACCAATTTGGTCTGTAAACTTTCACCAAAATCACAATAAAAAATTAAAAAGAAAAGAAAAAATCTGAAAGAGTCACACTACCTGATTGTAAGACTTAGGATGAAGCCATAGTGATGAGAGTATGGAATTGATAAAAGCACAGATACATAGATTAGTGGAACAAAATAGAGAGACTGGAATTAACCTACATGTGGTGTACTGCCTAAGGCATTTGACTGTTAACCAGAAGACTGGCGCTTCAAATTCATCAGCCACTCCTCGGAAGGAAGGTTGGGCAATCTACTTCTGTAGTGATACTGCCTCAGAAACCCAAGGTGGGGAATGCTATGAGTCGGATATGACTTGACAGCAGTGCGTTTTTTTTTTTTTTTTTTTTTCAGTACATGGCTAATTGAGTTTTGAAAAAATGTGCAGAAGCAATTGAGCAGAGAAAAGATCGTCTTTTTAATAAATAGTGCTGGAACGACTTGACATACAAAAAAATAAAAAACCTTGATCTATACCATGGACCTAAATCTGTTGTTGTTGTTGTTATGTGCCATCGAGTCGGCCCTGACTCATAGCGAACCCTCCTTGGGTTTCCGAGGCAGTATCACTACGGAAGTATGATTGCCCAACCTTCCTTCCGAGGAGTGGCCGGTGGGTTTGGACCGCCAGCCCTCTGGTTAGCAGTCAAGTGCTTTAGCCACTATGCTACCAGAGCTCCTAGGACCTAAATCTAGCAGTATAAAAATTTCTGGAAGGAAATATTTGTGATTTTGGGTTTGGCATAGCTATGCTATGATACCAAATAGATATGATAACACAACCACGATCCATAAAAGAAAAATTCATAATTTTGATTTTGGGATGATTGGTTTTATGTGTCAACTTTGCTACACTATGTCGTTGTTAGGTACCATAGAGTCAGCTCCAACTCATAGCAATCCTACATGTAACAGAACAAAACATTGCCCAGTTCTGCACCATCCTCACAATATTTACTATGCTTGGGCTCATCATCATCACAGCCACTGTGTCAATCCATCCCATTGAGGGTCTTCCCTTTTTTTGCTGACTGTCCACTTTGCCAAGTGTAATAGGGGAAAAGAGACCTCAGATTCAAACAGTTTCAATAGAAACATTTTTATTAAGCCTTGAACAGGACAAAGACAATTAATTATCCAGGTTGAGGGAAGATATCAGCACGTAACAGTACAGAAAGGCTGAATGGAGTCCACTGAGTCCCAGCTACCAAAACCAAACCAAACTCATTGCTGTCGAGTCGGATCCGACTCATAGTGACCCCTCCTTGGGTTTCCAAGGTGGCATCACTATGGAAGTAGATTGCCCAATCTTCCTCCCGAGGAGTGGCTGGTGGGTTTGAACCATCAGCTTTCTGGTTACTAGTCAAATGCCTTAGGCACTACACCACCAGAGCTCCAGTCCCAGCTACAGGGCTAGTTATATATGATTGAAAACAAAGGGAATCATCACAGAATCATGACTGGTGGCAGATGGATGCATTACTGTTGCAGGTGGAACTACAGGAAAGGGGAAAGGACCATGATAGGATATATACATAATTGAAGATAGAAAAGCGTTACAGGTTTGGTTCTGGGCCTTGACTACCTGGCTAGGTGGTGGTCCAGATATGACTCAAGACCATGCAGCCTGAGTCTTAGCCACGAAGTCCCTAAGAAACAGTACCAGGACCCCAAACTTAGATAAAACTTAGTATAAATTAGAAAAGGACACACTCAGGCAAGTTGCCTAGCTCTTTGTGTGAGCATAATCTACTGTCAACCACATTCTTCCTGAAGGCAAACTGCCCCTCCCCAGATTTGTTCTGGAACGTGTCTGTGCACAGCCACAATGCTGGTTTAATGGTCGGAAAGAACCCAAATGATGTCTGAAACTTATGCTAAGCCTCAAAATGGAGTTAGGGCTCCCACTGCAGACCACAGCCTTCCAACAACCAAGTACTTTAGAATTTAAGCTCTAATATACAAGTAAGAGATCCTTCTCCAGGGACCGGTCCCTTCTGACATCATGACCAAAGTATATGAAACTGGCCATTCTCCCTTCTAAGGAGCATTCCAGCTGTACTTCTTCCAAGATAGACTTGTTCCTTCTTTTGGCAGTCAGGGTATTTTCAGTGTTCTTTGTCAACAACAGAATTCAAATGCATCAGTTTTTCTGTGGTCTTCCTTATTCATTGTCCAGCCTTTCACATGCACATGAGGTATTGAAAATACCATGGCTTAGGTCAAACACAACTTAGTCTTCAAAGCTACATCTTTGCTTTCTAAAAGTTTAAGAGGAGTTTTGCAGAAGATTTGCCCAGTGCAATATATCATTTGATTTTCAAGGCATTTGACTGCTAACCAGAAGGTTGGAGGTTCAAACCTATGAGCCACTCTGCAGAAGGAAGACTGGGCAATCTACTTCCATAAAGATTTATTGCTTTGGAAACCAAAGGGAGTTGCTATGAGTCAGAACTGACTCAATGGCAGTGAGTTTGGGCTTTTTTTGCTTCTATGGGTGTTGATTGTGGATCCGCGTTACGTGAAATCCATGACAACTTCAATCTTTTCTCCATTTATTTTGATATGTCTTATTAGTCTGGTTGTAAGGATTCTTTTTTCTTTCTTTATGTGAAGGAGCTCTGGTGGTGTAGTGCCTAAGGCAGTTGACTGCTAACCAGAAGGCTAGCGGTTCAAGCCCACCAGCCACTCCTTGGAAAGAAAACTGGGCAATCTACTTCCATAGAGATGTTGTTGTTGTTAAGTGCCGTCGAGTCGTTTCTGACTCATAGCGACCCCATGCGCAGCAGAACAAAACACTGCTCGATCCCGCGCCAGCCCCACAATCCCTGCTATACTCGAGCCCATCATCGCAGCCACCGTGTCAATCCATCTCGTTGAAGGCCTCCCCCTCTTTTGTCAACCCTCCACCC